ATAGCACATTTATAAACGAGCCAAAGTGCTGTACATATAATACAAATAGCCTACAGTAGAGACACTTTACAGCAAATACAACAGCACAGATTGTTCAGAATATCAGTATGAGAAAAACGACACCCTCTGTCCTTAGACCCTCACATCGTACAAGGAAAAACTTCCAGAGAAAACCCACAGTTTAAAGGGAACATGGGAGAAACCTCAGGGAGAGCAACAGAGGAGGGATCCCTCTCCCAGGACGGACAGACGTGCAATAGATGCCGTGTGTAAATCGAAGAGATAATACATTTTACAGCATATAGACCGAATGTTAGGAAATGCATGTGTCTGTAATAAGAAGATGAATCCACGAGGATGTCAGCTACAATCCTGTGGAAGCCATCAGGGAAGCAGCATGACGAGACCCAAGGCAGGACCGCAGAGACAGGTTCAGCCACGACCAGAAGTCCACGACTTAATCCAGAACTCAGGATAGAGGATCCAAGACACAGGACTACAGCAAGAGGATCAGCCTCGACTCCGGATCCCGGCGTAGATATAGATACAAAACAAGAAAAAAGATTTGGCTGGGTTAATCGGAACAAGAGAATACACAGACACAGACAGAGAGGGAAAAGGTCATTGGATAAAAGTTATTCTTGATAACCCTCTAGAACGATCAACATATTATACGTAGAAAGAAAAAATGAAAGAAAGACAAAAGAACAACATAAATAATTGTTAAATAATAATAATGATAATATTAATACAATTAAAAAAATATATAATATTGATGAAAATAATATGAATAATAAACACAATAATGTAAATAATAATGATTTTTATAATAAAATATATCTTTTTATTTTAACATGTCTTGATCACAATTCTGATGAAATGTATCAATATAGTTTAGTTATGTAAAATGTATTTATTATTGATTTATATTTTACCAAAATATTGGAATCGCCCTAAAGAATCCACTATCATTCGGGTCATGTGAAAATGAACATTTGATATAGACTACTTCAAATCAACGTCAAATAAAACGTTGTTTTTTTGTCATTACTGCATATACTGCATGTTGTAATCTCCTGCTGTCAGCCACTGATTAACAGATAGATGGATTAACAGATCCTTTTTAAGCGTCACCACCAACAACTATCGATCAGTTGAAGACTGAAACAGATATCACATCGCCCTGTGTGTGTATGGCACAAACAAAACAATAACAACATGTTTCTACAATGCCACTATAGTACTAGGGGTAAGAACTGCAAAGGGTATCCTTGACTGTTATTGAGAGACACAATTATTTTCCATTTGAGTCTTTACAATTCAAAGTAATACGTGTGAAGTCGACTAACAATCGTTAAATGTACACTGTTTGTCTCCCAGATGATTCCTCTGGATTCCTTCGTCGGGCAGAGTGCAGACGGGAAGATGGTGCCCATCATCCCGGGGGGAAACAGCATCCCGCTCTCCTTCTCCAACAGGAAGGAATACGTGGAGAGAGCCATCGAGTACCGGCTGCATGAGATCGACCGACAGGTGTGGGCTGCTTGGGAGTACCACATGTTCTGTGTTAAACATCCTTTAGAAACATTTAACCATCTCATATTACAAGGTGACAAAGTCAATCTCCTCCTGGAGCTCGGACTAACTTTCCTAAAGGTTTTTAATACAATGGAGGAAAATAGAATCTTGTAATTGATGAAGAAAGAATTTATAATGAAATTAGAGAATCCACAATAGCTGTTAATGAAATCTTGGGATGACATACTTTTGTTTTCAAAGTCAAGCATGAACGTTTAACCTCCAAGCTTTTGGTCACACAGACGTTTATCAGAGCAGCGGCTGCGCTATAGCTGGAAAAAAGGGAAGAGCGTCTTTTTCCACAGAACAACAATGTCTATTTCTTTAGGAATTGTTCATGTAGTCCAATACAAACTGCTCACTGTGAGAGCTGAAACAATTAGTTCATTTATCATTCTATAGAAGTACTTCCTGAAGAATTGTATTTTCATTAAAGGTCACATGTCATGCTTTTCCGGTTATTACCCGTCCCCTTGTGTGTTATGAAGGTTTTTATGCATGTAAACGTTGTGCAGAGTCAAAACCCTCAAAGTACACCCTGTAGCGAGTAAAACTCTAACACAGAAAATACCTCCCCAAAACGCCTCGTTGGAGATACGTCACTGTCCATTTGATTCTTCCGGGTACGCATGATGTCATCCGTACCCGGAACGAAATGGACCAATCCGTGGAGCCGTTACGTCCGCGGAGCCGTTACGTTAAGCCCCCACTGATTGGTCCAAATTGACCAATCCACGGACTTCCTCACACACTCAGTGCAGGCAGCTCAGCTGATTTCTCCTCCCTGGCTGCAGGCTGATAACAGACAGTTGGGATCTCTCTGCAGACCCATTCTCTCTGCAGACCCATTCTCACAGCGTTTATCAACCTTTTTCTTACTCAATATCAAGCCACACTTATTGTTTTTACTTCGGCTGTGACTTTGTGTGTGCTCAGGATGAGTTTGGCTGTGTATCGCTAAACAAGGAAATAACACCTCCACGAAGCTCAGCGCGATTCACAACGTCCCGACTGGTCCCGACCAATCGGAGCACACTGGGCTCACAGGGAGGGGGGGGGGCAAGAGCTGCAACGAGCCGTTTAGTGGAGAGAGTGAATACTGCTGAATACACATACTATACAGAGATGCTGTTTGAGAAACCAATGTGAGTTTGGAACATTGCACAGTATAAATCTATTCTAGTAGACCTCGACAATGGAATTATGATCAGTGGAAATGGCCATGACATGTGACCTTTAACAATTCATTGTTTAAAAAAAAAAAAAAAAGAACCCCAGAAGTTATTTCTTAGTTTCAGCTTGTTTAAGTGAAAAAGTTAATAAAATAAAATAGTTGTGAAATAAAGAAGAAAGTGAGGTACATTTCTCAGAATTGAGAATGTTACATGAGTTTTAGGAGGAAAAGAATCCTAGTTTTCTGACATCGATTCATGTTTAGTTTCAGTTGTAGTGAAGAATGTGAATAATAAAAAGAGATGTGTACGGATGATGACCACATCGTAACCTCCCCCCCACTCCCTCAGGTGGCGGCGGTGCGTGAGGGCATGTCTTGGATCGTGCCGGTGCCGCTGCTGTCCCTGCTGACGGCCAAGCAGCTGGAGCAGATGGTGTGCGGCATGCCGGAGATCTGCTGCGACGTGCTGAAGAAGGTGGTGCGCTACAGGGAGGTGGACGAGCAGCACGCCCTGGTGCAGTGGTTCTGGCAGACGCTGGAGGAGTTCTCCAACGAGGAGCGCGTCCTCTTCATGCGCTTCGTCTCCGGGCGCTCGAGGCTGCCCGCCAACACGGCCGACATCTCGCAGAGGTTTCAGATCATGAAGGTGGACCGGGTGGGTGACGCAGACTCCACTGTGTGCTACATGTTGTCCGAATACGTCCATTTACTAAGGAGTTAAGGTCTTTTACAGGCATATTAGACGGTCAAAGTGCTGTGAGGTTGTTAATAGCATTCATTTCAATGTTTCCCTATGGGACACGCCTCCATTTGTTTTCCTCTGAAGCGTTTTTGGAGGTAAAACGTTTTATTCTATCAAATAAACGTATAATAGGTGTTTTTTTCCACTTTGGACGAGTACAGGGTCGGACTGGCCATCTGTGTGTTGTGGAGAAAAACATAACCAGAGTAGTCCAGTAGTCCAGAGCTTTCATTTCCTCCAATGAAGTTGCACACTGACAGGTTACAGAAGGTCACAGCGCTCATAAATCATGTAGTTACTCGCCAAGTAAAGATATTTAGAATAATATTTTGAGTCCAGATCAAGGCATTGTGACACTGCTGCTGCGGGCTTTTGCATTTCCATGGCATCAATTATTGTGGGCAGGGCTGGCTCAGAGTCTGCGGCTCTGTACTAACGGACATGAGAGGAGGTGTTATCTCTCCTCTGTTGCTGAACTCTGTTAAATATGGCAAAGTAAGCAGAAAACAATTATGACTTTCTTTACGTTTTCTGCACGAAAAGGGAGTATACCTGTACAGTTTAGACATGCTCTATAGTAAAAGTGCCTTGAGACAAATTGTAATATGACTTCAATTGAATAGATAAACCTTTATTGATCCTCAGAGGGGATCTTTGGTTGTTGTAGCCGAACCAAGACTGAAATAAATACAGAGAAAACTAGTGGATAGAATAAGCAAGGAGCATTATGGAGAAAAGAACTGTACGATTTTTAACAGCTTCTTCATTTCCCCCCCTCAGCCGTACGACAGCCTGCCGACCTCTCAGACCTGCTTCTTCCAGCTCCGCCTGCCTCCCTATTCCAGCCAGGCCGTCATGGCGGAGCGGCTGCGCTACGCCATCAACAACTGCCGCTCCATCGACATGGACAACTACATGCTCTCCAGAAACGTGGACAACGCAGAGGGCTCCGACACGGACTACTGACGCAGGCAGCCCCACACGTGAACACATGAATAAATGATCACCTGCACACGGACTGTCTTATCGAACACGCACACACAGAGCGAGATGCTTCATCATCGCTGCACCAGTTGTAGGGAACTCCTGAGCAGACACTTTTTAAATCCATTTTATGTACTTTCAAACAGCACAGGTTTTCCTTTCTCCTTGTGGTTTATTAGCAGTTTTTAAATGACACAAGAATCCACACGAGAAGTGCATTTAGTGTTTATTTGTTTTGCGCATTACTCCACATCCCATTTTCAGGGTTTCTGCATGGAGGTTATGTTTATTAGTTTGGAAATGTGTATAGAATATTCAAGAAAGAAAGAAAAGGAGGAAAGGAAGAATATTGTACATTGTGTAAAATGCTTCATTAGGGAAATGTTTTGCATAATATCCATATTTATTGTTTTCATTGCCTATGCCGAGTTTCCCAAAGCATACAAAAAAACAACAATAAATGCTGCACAACTGAATTGTAGTTGGGTTTCATTTAAAACGGTTGTAGAAAAAAGACAAACATTTCCAGAAAGAAGACATCACATTTATTTCAGAAGTACAAAACATGACAAAGGCCATCTTTAATGGGAAGTAACTCAAATATGAAGAAGAAAAAAAAGTACATTAAAGGAAAAATTACACGACTATTCAGTGTGTTCAAAATAAGTGCTCATGTTGGCAAGGGGAGACGTTTGGATATGGATTTTCTCTCAATCTCATGTACTTTGACAGTGTTTTGGTTGCTGTCATAAAAAATATAATTCGCAGTGAAAGCAGCTTCTGACAGATTACACAGGAGGCGTTCAGGGACAGTACTGAGTGTGGGTCACCTGCATTTTGGAAGCAGGGTCACAAGATCACTGTTAATATGTAAAAAGTAGGAAAATGGAGAGAACTTTGGGAAGGGAAACCCCCCAAAAATCATGTTATGGCCTGAGGGATCCACTAATCAATTTCTCATGCGTAATCATCCATGAAGCCATCTCTTAGTGACTCTGCCGAGACCTCATTATGCTCCAGCTTCATGAGTCTGAGTTCAACCAAAGTGGGAATCTTCCACCTTGGCTGTTTAGTTTTAGTACAATATTCTGTTTCCTATACCTTTCACAGCTTGTATGGAGTTCAGATAAAGATTACAGCAACTGATAACCCGCTCAAAGTACATGTGAGGATTGTATTGGGACTAACTGGAACAAGTCTTTGAAATGGTGGCAGGAGATGTTTCTACATTTCCTCTGGGGTCCCTGTTCTGTTTCCCAACAGTGTTGAAATGTTTCAACTCACATGTGACGCGGAAAAGACAAGAACTGACCAACAAATCCAGGTTTGGGGTATTCAAAACCTTTTTAAATCCCTCTGGAAAAACTGTAGACCTCAAGCTAATTATAGTGAAAGACTCGCTTTGGATATATTTCACCGTGTAATGGTAAACCTTAGTATAAGAAAGAACTACACCCTAAGATTTCTTAATGTACGCTGCTTTACTCTGCAGCTTGTGTAAAACTTCAAAGGTTTCAGATCACTGACAGTTATGTTGTGCTGACACGGTCAAACTGTGTGCTGTCTCAGCATGAGGTAGAGGAACCATTGAAAACCTAAAATCAGACGAGGTAACTGTCCAGGTGTGTCAATCAGAAGTCTCCAAGTGTAATGAGCTTTCGTCCATATTTCCAACCCCAGAGTTACCATTCCTCTATGTTCACTCCTCTTGTGTTGAGGAGATTCATCTCAGTAACATTGTTTTAACATTTGAACTCATTAGAAGATGAAATCCATCCAACTCAAATATCAGAGAAACTCAAAATGAAGGTCACACAGACTTTTGAAAAAGTCCTTCAAGTCAAACTAAGCGAGGCCCGTTTTCTCTTCATCACATTCTGACTCTGAAGAACCTGAAGTAACTGCAACTGCATTTCCACTGTTTAAAAAAGATATAGAAGACTTTGAAACATGCTTTTTTTTAAGGCCTTGTAGTGTCTCATGTGGGAGCCCAGATCTGACCCCGGATCAGCCTCTGGTTCTCGGCGTCACCTCTCAGGACCCCCCGTCCTCCGCCCTCCGGGGTGTGATGATGCTGTCCTTGGCCTGCAGGAGTCTCACCAGACAGGGCGTGGTGAACTTGGCGGGCAGCGCCCCCCCCCGGCTGGGGGGGGCCGAGAGCGAGTCGGTGGAGGAGGAGACGGCGCTGTCCTGGGTCGCCCCCTGGCTGCAGCACGCAGGTGGAGGGGGGGGGGAGGCCGGGGGGGGCTGACTGAGGGTGGATTCAAGAGTCTTCAGGGAGCAGATGGGCGACATGTGGAGCCATTTGAGGCGGGTGGAGGAGTCTGAGGAGCAGAACGACACCGGGGAGGGTGGAGGGGGGGGGGGCGCTGCTCTGATGCTGCTGGAGAGGAAACATCAGTGTCACAATAATGTCTACCATCAACGCATCTGCATAATTATTAAAAGTCTGTTAAACTCAATTTAATTACTTTTATTAAATTAAATAAATATATAATGTGTCTAACTCAATTAAGTTAAAGGTGGGGTAGGTAAGTTTGTGAAACCGGCTCGAGATACACTTTTTGTTATATTCCATGGAATGCTCTTAACATCCCGATAGCAATGAATATCTGAAGTGCTTTGACAAAAAATCCATTAAAAAAACATCATCTGTGGAAGCCGTAGCGCTGTAAAAAGCACGACCAATCATCTGAGCCGGCCCGGCTAAAGTAACTGGATGGCCTACCTGCCTGTCAGCCTTCCATCTGTGCACAAACTTATCTCATGCCCTCATTGGTCATGTGCGCGTTCGTGTGTGTTGGAGGAGGGGCTCTGTGAGGAAGTGGCAGATTTGTTCCGGCTGTGTATTTTCAAATTCTAGCGCACTCTAACTGGTTTCTCCAAAATGAGCTACCCCACCTTTAATATTATTCAATTAATTAAGAACTGTTCCTTCAACTCAATTAAATAAATATCATTAAATTAATAAAAAATAGTTCCTTCAACACAATTACATACATATTTTTAAATTAATTTAAAAAGTCAGTCTAACTCAATTAAATAACTATTATTAAATTAATAGAAATATAGTTTGTTTAACTCAATTAAATAACTTATTAAATTAATTTAAAAGAAATGTGTTAAACAAAATTAATAAATATTATAAAATGTATTAAAAATGGTTGGTTTAACTCAATTCAATAAATATTAACTATTGATAAACTATACACTCAAATATGTTCCCCCAAACTGAGGACTTTAAGTCTGGTTTGTATTCTGTGAACCCTTCTGCAGTTCAGATGGTTTTGCTGGTTTTTAAATGTAGAGGGTCACATTCTTGAGTGAGGGGCCGCTCTGGTTTCCCCCTCATTATCTGACCCCTACCCTTCTTAAGAAACGATTAAATCATCGCCAGTAAAAATAAATGTAGACCTCGGCTTCCAGGATTCTGTTACATAATCTGACTCTTCTCACCATCAGAGCCGCGAGGCAGACCGAACGGGAGATGAACTTCACCGTTAACGATGATTATTTATTATAATGACTTCAGATCGAGATACTTGTTAGTGTTATATTCTCAATTCATCTAATTTAACATGAGCAACATTTTCAATGCTCAGATATTTATTTTACTGTCATAGACAATCTTAACATTTGAAAAGCTGGGATTTTTTGCTTAACTCGCTGCAAAAGGAAATTGATAATCAGAATAAACTTGGTAACCATGGTTGAATAATAATTACATGTTTACCTTTTGCTTCTTAGTCGGAGTACAGGGCTCTGTGTGCGTTGGGTCTGGCCTGATGTGAGGAAACCAACTGTGCAGCATCTCTGCTATCTTCAGTACAATGCTGAGGAAGCGTCCTCTGGAGGGGAGACAGAAAACACACAGGTTGGTTTCCACCATTTTCACATCTGCACAGGTTTAACATTGATGTACAGGTGGAGGTTACACACCAAGAGATGCTGCAATGTGCCACAAAGACAGAAGACTCACTGCAAACTGGTAAACACAGATCTAAGATACTTAAAGTAGTGTTGCATCTTAAATCATTCGACATATTATTGGAGTTAAACAAATGCAGGAGATTACTTTTGTTTGTTTAAGAGGACATACCACAATGTAAAAAATACTTTGTTACGTAGTTGTTGTCATTTAGCCCTTCAAAAACGACATTTAATATCTATGTTACAAGCTGATGAGTTATATGCTTCACAATTTTGTAATCTTGCTTATGGTGATGACATAACATAATACGACAGACATTCAAAGCTTCACTCAAAAACCTTATACAAGCTACAAATGAAAAAAAAAGATGAACCTCATTTTATGCACAGAACAATAAGTTTTATTTTAGAAAAAAAAAACTTAATTATGAATGAAGTTATCTGTAGGATAAAGTTAAGCTAAGTCCTTGAGTAAATGTACTTAGAGAGGTTCCTTGCACCTGAATGTGACATTTGAGGAGTTTTCCTCCGCAGATTACAGAGGCAGAGCCCTGCAGCTCAGATGGATTTCGGATGTCTCGCCAATGGCCATTACGTAAGCCCATAAAGCCTGTGCCAACACATGGCTGCACCTGATTGGTGGACAACATGAAACAGCACAAAGACTGAATAAATAAAAAGCCTGTGTGGGGAGGGAGAGGGGGGAGACAGGGGGGAGTACGGACGACTGATCCGAGTATATCTGCATTCCTCTCCGTCTGTGATGCTATCTGACGGCCACATACATCGGAGGAGGAGGAGGAGGAGGAGGAGGAGGAGGAGGAGGAGGAGGAGGAGGAGGAGGAGGAGGAGGAGGAGCATGTTCAGGTCCACATGAGAAATGTGACCACACACACTCCCGCTGCAGCACACACGTGGCAGTAGGAGAAGGACCTCGTTCCATTCACTGGCTATAAATAGAGCAGTAAGCCCCGGAGCCAAGCCCCGCCCACTGCCCACAGCCACGACAGCATCACACACACACACACGTGCACACACACACCTCGGTCATCACACTGTACACTTAAATAAACGTGAGACCAACAAAAGGTCTGGAGTTCATGAAATATTAGAGCTGCAACTAATTATTATTTGTATTAATCTCTCTGCCAATGATTTCCTTTATTAACAGTTTTTCAATCAAATGTCCATTGCTAAAATTCTAATGTCTCTTTTTGCTTGGTTTGTCCAACCACCAGGCCAGAAATGGAAAATACTGTATACAGACAGGTGAGTCTATTGTTCAGCCTTCCCTTATTGCTATCATTGAGAAACAGCTCTCTGTACAAAGAGATTCAGGAGCAGCACAAACTGCCTCCTGCTGAAGGATCATACAGTTGAATTAAAGCACAAAAAACAGTTTTAAGAAGAGCGGTTATCAAAGCGTAATAAATACTGGAATGATACATTAATACAAAAAAGACTTGCCCATTTAGTTCAACTTCACGCTAATCTTTGGTTCCTTTGTGTTTGAGTTAATGAAAAGCTCGAAGTGACTACCCTACAGCTTTTAGGACACAACCTTGCAGCTCAATGGTTTTGGTTTGTATTCCGCGCAACTTTACTGTTTTGCTTCACTCTCATGCCTCTCATCTGTGTAATTGTTTTTAGTCAACAAGCTCCATGAAAAAGCTGTATAGTCAATAAAAGAATGAGTTATTAACTAGCTGGTAAAGATAGCGGAGAATTTAGCAGCTAAAGTATGTTCTCATATCAGTGTCAATATTTATAAATGCCCAAATATGTTTTGTGATTTATATATGCGGGACTCTCCATATATTGTAAAGTGCTCACACAAATAGTTGAGTGACATGCAGAGCTCAAAGTGAGTTAGGCTTAGATTAATCAGAGAGAATCAGAATGAATGATTACTGACGGATGTGGATGTGTTGTGACGCAATTCATAAGACGTGTTAATACTGAAAAGGAGAAAGAAAATGTGTTCCTTATTTTGATTGTAACTATTTTGTTTCATTCAGATTTCCTTTCTCACACAAATACTCAACTAAAACAATTATTCCTGAATTAAGGCTGCAGATATTTTAGAGTTTGACTTAATTTCTCTAAATATCTCTGCCTGTTTTAATTTATTCTGCCAAATGTGAAAATAAACATTGAGCAGTGGATCTCATGCACCAGGACGTCCAGTGTGTGTGTTTAATGTGACATAATTGGGGACAGATGTGAAGCCAGTTAGACTGCAGCGCTCCACGTGTGTCCAGCTCAGTCTGAACAGAGAGGTTCATTTCCCTACACATGTTACATTTACTGCACATGTCAAACCACAAGAAAAAAACTGTTCACTATGTTGTTTAAGAAAGTAGTCCACAATAAAAATGGACCTCATTGTATAGTATGTCAAAAATATCAGAAGAAAGGATATAGTACAGTATGTTTGGAAAAAACGGCAAAGTATAGTATGTTGAAAATTCTAAAAACATAGCAAATTATATTTAAAAAAATGCCATATTATACTAGGTCAAAAATATAAGAAAAACGTCATAGTATAATTAAAGTCATAGTCAAAAATATCAAGAAAAAAGTATTTCTTAATGTCGGGAAAAAAACAGAAGTATGGTATAAAAAAAAAAGATAGTCCCAGTATATTATAATATGAGGAAAATAATATATAATACATCTACAAATTCATAGAGGGATATATTATTAAACATTAATCCAAACAGGCACAGCTTGAAAAGCATAATATAGGACAATCTCCAATAAATGCAAATAAGTCAATCAATGAGTATGTATGAAGTAGAAAATTAAGGAGGAGCCTCTTTATATTTAATTATTTTTTATTATTATTTCATTGTTTTTTTCCGACCTACTCATGTTTTCCCATGATTGTCAAACACACCTCTTGCTGCTCATTGTACTTTTAGAGAGATAAACTCCAGCCGCCATTAAAGCTGCTGACTGATGCCAGCTGGAGCCAGGCTCAGGAACATTTGTGTAGTCAGCGTGATTGAAGTAGTAATACCTCCTGTCTGTCACGTGACGGAGGTCATACAAAGTCCAGGAGGAACTTATCACTTGTAAATTAGTCAGTGGGGAATATGTCTTTCACACCAATTACATCAAAGTTTTATGTCAAACCTTTTGTTTACAGCTTATTCAACACACTCTCCACAGTTATTATTCATGTTTTAGCTAGTTTTAATAATAATAATAATAATACACCTCTCTGAAGAACCAGCTCTTACCGTGGAAGAGAGGCTTGTGTGCCCTGATGAACCTGGGGGCTGTGTTGTCTGGAACCTTGTGTTCCTGGTAGGGTCTCCCATGGCAAATTGGTCTCAGGCAAGGGGCCAGACTAAGATTGGTTCAAAAGACCTCATGAAAGAAAAACCAGGAAGTGAGGATACCCGGCCCGGAGGAAGCCCGGGGTCCCCTTCTGGAGCCAGGCCCAGAAGGAGGACTCGTCGGTGAGCGTCTGGTGGCCGGGCTTGCCATGGAGCCCGGCCGGGCACAGCCCGAAAAGGCAACATGGGCAACACCTCTGCTTCTCCGTCCCGCGGGCCCACCACCTACGGGAAACAGCGATGGGGTCGGGTGCGCTGCCAGAAGGGTGGCAGTGAAAGCAGAGGGTCTCGACGGACCAGACCCGGGCGACAGAAGATGGCTTTGGGGACGTGGAACGTCACCTCTCTGGGGGGGAAGGAGCCGGAGCTTGTGCGGGAGGTGCACCGTTACCAGTTGGATCTGGTTGGGCTCACCTCTACGCACAGCGTTGGCTCTGGAACCTTACTTCTGGATAGGGGTTGGACTCTATTCTTCTTCGGAGTTGCTCAAGGTGTGAGGCGCCGGGCGGGTGTGGGGATACTCACAAGTCCCAGGTTGGGTGCTTTGTTGTTGGAGTTTACCCCAGTGGACGAGAGGGTCGCCTCCCTACGCCTGCGGGTTATGGGGGGGGAAAACTCTGACTGTTGTGTGTGCTTATGCACCAAACAGCAGTTCGGAGTATACAGCCTTCTTGGAGACCCTGGAAAGAGTCCTGTATGGGGCTCCTGAAGGGGACTCTTTAATCTTGCTGGGAGACTTCAACGCACATGTGGGCAATGATGGAGACACTTGGAGGGGCGTGATGGGGAGGAACGGCCCCCCTGATCTGAACCGGAGTGGTGGTTTGTTACTGGACTTCTGTGCTAGTCATGGATTGGCCATAACAAACACCATGTTTGAACATAAGGATGCTCATAAGTGTACGTGGTACCAGAGCACCCTAGGCAGAAGGTCCATGATCGATTTTGTTATCGTATCATCGGACCTGAGGCCGTATGTTTTGGACACTCGGGTAAAGAGAGGGGCGGAGTTGTCAACTGATCACCATCTGGTGGTGAGTTGGGTCGAGTGGTGTGGGAAGCCTCTGGATAGACCTGGTAAGCCCAAACGTGTAGTTCGGGTGAACTGGGAACGTCTGGAGGAGGCAGTGGACCATCCAAGCTGTGTACAGTAAGGATGGGACGTTGTTGACCTCAACTGATGGAGTGTTAGGGCATTGGAAAACACTTTGAGGAACTCCTGAAGCCGACAACTCCGCCCTCTATGTTAGAGGCAGAGCTGGAGTATGACGGGGGATCAACACCAATCTCCCGGGGGGAGGTCACTGAGGTCGTCAAACAACTCCACAGTGGTAAAGCCCCGGGGGTGGAGGAGATCCGCCCAGAAATGCTGAAGGCTCTGGGTGTTGAGGGAATGTCATGGTTGACACGTCTCATCAACATTGCGTGGAAGTCGGAAACAGTACCGAAGGAGTGGCAGACCGGGGTGGTGGTTCCCCTTGGTGGGGATCAGAGGGGTGTGCCAATTACAGAGGCATCACACTACTCAGCCTCCCCGGGAAGGTTTACTCTAAGGTACTCGAAAGAAGGGTCAGGCCGATTGTCGAACCTCAGATTGAGGAAGAACAATGCGGACTCTGTCCTGGTCGTGGAACGACGGATCAGCTTTTTACTCTCGCAAGGATCCTGGAGGGGGCCTGGGAGTACGCTTATCCGGTCTACATGTGTTTTGTAGACTTGGAGAAGGCGTATGACCGAGTTCCCAGGGAGTTACTGTGGGAGGTGCTGTGGGAGTATGGGGTGAGGGGGTCTCTACTCAGGGCCATCCAATCTCTGTACTCCCAAAGCGAGAGCTGTGTCCGGGTTCTCTACAGTAAATCGGACCCATTTACGGTGAGGGTTGGCCTCTGCCAGGGCTGCGCTTTGTCACCAATCCTGTTTGTAATATACATGGATCGGATTTCGAGGCGTAGTCGTGGGGGAGGGGGTCTGCGGTTCGGTGGACTAAGGATTGCACCACTGCTTTTTGCAGATGATGTGGTTCTAATGGCTTCATCGGTCTGTGACCTTCAGCACTCACTGGATCGGTTCGCAACCGAGTGTGAAGCGGCTGGGTTGAGGATCAGCACCTCCAAATCTGAGGTCATGGTTCTCAGCAGGAAACCGATGGACTGTCCACTCCAAGTAGGGAATGAGTCCTTACCCCAAGTGAAGGAGTTCAAGTATCTCGGGGTCTTGTTCTCAAGTGAGGGAACAATGGAGCTTGAGATGGGCCGGAGAATCGGAGCAGTGGGAGCGGTACTGCAGTCGCTTTACCGCACCGTTGTGACGAAAAGAGAGCTGAGCCAGAAGGCAAAGCTCTCTGTCTTCCGGGCCATTTTCGTTCCTACCCTCACCTATGGTCATGAAGGATGGGTCATGACCGAAAGAACGAGATCGTGGATACAAGCGGCCGAGATGGGTTTTCTCCGCAGGGTGGTTGGTGTCTCCCTTAGGGATAAGGTGAGAAGTTCAGTCATCCGGGAGGGACTCAGAGTTGAACCGCTCCTCCTTCGCGTCGAAAGGAGCCAGTTGAGGTGGTTTGGGCACCTAGTTAGGATGCCACCTGGGCGCCTCCCTAGGGAGGTGTTCCAGGCACGTCCAGCTGTCAAGAGACCAAGGGGTAGACCTAGGACCAGGTGGAGGGATTATATCTCTTCGCTGGTCTGGGAGCGCCTTGGGATCCCCCAGTCAGAGCTGGTTGATGTGGCCAGGGAAAATAAAGTTTGGGGCTCTCTGCTGGAACTGCTACCCCCGCAACCCGACCACGGATAAGCGGGAGAAGATGGATGGATAATAATACATTACATTTATAAAGCGCTTTTCTTGGTGCTCAAAGCAAACAGTAGGTTAGCTTCAGCAGACCTGAGGCGATGGGTGGGGGTGTGTCGTTGGATGAGGTCACAGAGGTAGGGGGGGGCAAGGTTGTTGAGGGCTTTGAAAGTGAAAAGTAATATTTTAAAGTTAATGCGGTGTTTGATGGGGAGCCAATGGAGGTCATGGAGGATAGGGGTGATGTGGTCGTAGCATCGGGTGGAGGTGAGCAAGCGGGCAGCTGAGTTTTGGACATATTGAAGTTTTTTTAGTGTGAATGCAGGTGATCCAAAAAGTATGCTGTTGCAGTAATCCAGTCGGGATGTCATAAAGGCATGGATCAGAGTTTCAGCAGTGGACGATGAGAGGGAGGGTCTGATGCGGGCGATGTTCTTTAAATGGAAGAAAGCGTTTTTTGTGACCTGGTTGACGTGAGGGAGGAAAGTGAGGGTGGGGTCGAGGATGATGCCAAGGTTACGGATGTGAGTGGAGGGGTTGACAATAGAGCCATCGATGGTAAGAGAAAAATCTTGGGTTGAGCGGGTAAGTGTGTTTGGGCCAATGATTATAAGTTTCCGATTTGTCACAGTTAAGTTTTAGAAAATTGTTTTGCATCCAAATGTTAATGTCAGTGAGGCAGGTGCTGAGCTGGGAGTGTGTGGTTGGAGAAATTGATTTTGTTGAGAGGTAGAGCTGTGGGTCATCAGCATAACAGCGGAACTGGAGTTGGTGTTGACGGAGGATTTGTCCAATTAGGAGGATGTAGATGAGGAACAGAAGGGGACCAAGTACAGAACCCTGAGGGACGCCATGATTGACGGGGGCTGTGGGGGATTTGGAGTTGTTAATGGAGATGAATTGATGTCTGTCAGAGAGGTAGGATTTAAACCAGGAGAGAGCAGTACCGGTTATGCCAATGGAAGACTGGAGTCGGTTGATGAGGATAGAATGGTTGATGGTGTCAAATGTGGCTGTTAGGTCAAGGAGAATGAGAATTGAGAGGGAACCAGAGTCAGCAGAGAGGAGAATGTCGTTGGTCACCTTGAGTAGGGCAGATTCTGTGCTGTGGCGAGTACGGAAACCAGATTGAAAAGGTTCATGAAGGTTATTGCAGTCCAGATGGGATTTTAGTTGGGAGGCAACAGTTCGCTCCAGAATTTTTGACAGGAATGGAAGGTTAGAGATGGGCCGGTAGTTATTGAGGGAATCAGGGTTGAGAGCAGGTTTTTTGAGTATGGGAGTGACAGCAGCGAGTTTCAGATCAGGGGGGACAAGTCCAGTGGACAGAGAGGAGTTAATGACTGTGGTGATAAGATGAGTGAGTTGGGGGAGGCAGGCCTTGACAAGGGTGGAGGGCATGGGGTCCAGGATGGAAGTTGAGGTATTCATGCCGGTGACTTACTGTAGGCAACTATGTCCAGTGAGGTAATTTGTATGAAGGCTGTAAAAGGGTGCCTGGAAGGAGGAGGTAGGCAGGTTCCGGAAAAGGATGGGTGGTGGACGAGACGGAGGAGTTGGCTATGTTGCTGTGTATTATTTCAATTTTGCTTTGGAGGAATGAGAGGAAGGATTCACACTTTGAGGTGGTGAAGGAGTTGGAGATATTATCCATGGGGTTGAGGAGCTTGTTAATAGTTGAAAAAAGGGACTTTGGGTTATTGCTGCCAGATTGTATTACAGAGGAGTAGTGGAAGGAGCGTGCACTGTTGAGGGCATCTTTGTACTGCTGTTGGTGGGGACTGCAAGTTTTTGAAAGTTTGTAATATTAAGATTGTTTTGTTTAATAGCAACGCCAAATAAGCATAGGATCCTCAACCTCACTGTCGATACATTTAATCAACATTTCTAGGTTTTTATGTTTCAGTACTATTTGAAAATGTTTCTTTTTATGCAATCGACAACAATGAATAATCTTTGGATACATTTTGGCTTGCTATCTTTATAGATAAGTACATTTTATAAGAAAGCATAGACACATGTCCTTATTTTAAGGTAACGGAGTCTGTGTAGGTTCTTAAATTGAAGGTAAATATTATTTGGACTGACACATTTTCACAGAAACACAGGAGGGAACGCTTCTTAAGCTTCCAAAATACTGTTGCATTTGATTGGACTACTGAAAAGCGGTCTTTTTTCTTTTAAATGAAGCTACAGAGGACTGTTGCAGATTGATGATGTTTTGTTCTTGCTCACATACACATGTATTTTCTTAACTAGGTGCGAAATAAGACACAGAATGTGAACTCAAAAGGTCAAAAAGGCATGTTTCATCTCGACTTTTAATTAGGTTTATATTATTAGCAGCTAGTAAAAAAAAACGACAGTAGCTCCATCATTTTAACTTAGCTCCACCTTTCAGTCCTATAACTGCAGCTATGCAAGAACATTAGTGCATACAGCCGTCAAATTAGAGTTTTTCTGAAAGTCGAGCCATGTTGTCAATCCACTGACCCAAACCTGTTTCAAGTCAGACTTTTTGGGGGCATTTCTCATCCATCTTTCTAAAACTATGCTATCCTAAAGAATCACTCCTGATGGAATTCAATCAGCCCTCTAATGCTTCCAACTATTGTGTATAACACAAGGGAAGTGAATACTATTTCCTTATAGAGGATCAGGAAATAAAAAGAAGCAAAGAAGGAACATTTTCGAACATGCTGTCATTAAAGCTGCTGAAGTATTTTCAGGATATTTACCCCATGTTTGGATTCTGAAGAACCCCCATTATTCTTTGGATCCGGTCCATGGCCACGCTCTCCTGGAAACTGCTGAAACCTGCGGGAGAAATAAAGAGAAATGATGATGAGGAGGAGAGGAGGAGGCACGTGGCCTGGCCACAAGAACATCCCTCCTTACCTACTCCCTCAGTTATTCTGAAAAAGCCTCCTGGATGCAGTCGTATTAAGCTGTACCACACCACTACACTGACTTCAAACCTCTGAGATTTCCTCTAACTGCACCATGAGGTTATGTTTTTGAATGAAAATGTCTCAACTACTCTATGATATATGGTTTCATGTACACAAAATGTCAGTATGCTACACTTAAATCTTGAATTTAATGGTAAATAATATATAATTGCGGCAAAAACTTTTATTTTGTACTTACTGTCAGACCTGATGATAGGATACATGTATTCTGTTCATCTCATACCTACCATAAAGCAACGTTGCGAGTTGTGGTGCTAGAGACTATTTTAAAACTTTATCGCTTGTTTTTGGCGCAGCGTGCAGGAAGGAGTGCAAACAGCCGCTCTTAAATCATACATCACTTCAATTGTGAGGCTCCAGATCCGGTCTTTCATCTCTGCAGCACTTTCAGTTTAAAAGGATGCTAAATGACTCGTGAGGCCTTTGATCCTTTCATTACTTTGTTCTGCAGATGTAATATCCAGTCTTCTGCCTCGCAGTTTTTTATTGTGGACATTCAGTTTGAATTATTTCTACATGTGCGTGTCTACATTGAGAAAATACTCTTTATAATCAAAGGAATATCATTTCATTTAACATTGAAAGCTTTTCATTACTTCCAAATCACTTTCTAATGAATGCTTTATCTTAACTAGGTATTTGATTTCAATTAAATGTAATGTGTTAATATATATTCACCAACCATCAGCTATCATATACATGTGCAGACTCCACTAGGAATGATGAAGGATTGAGGAGTCAAATCCAAGTAAATTGGTGTTATACATCAAAAGTGTATTTACAATTAAAGGTGGGGTAGGTAAGTTTGAGAAACCGGCTCGAGATACACTTTTTGTTATATTCCATGGAATGCTCTTAACATCCCGATAGCAATAAGTACTTTGACAAAAAATCCATAAAGAAATGTCATCTCTGGAAGCCGTGGCGCTGTAAAAAGCACGACCAATCATTTGAGCCGGCCCGGCTAAAGTAACTGGATGGCCTACCTGCCTGTCAGCCTTCCATCTGTGCACAAACTTATCTCATGCCCTCATTGGTCATGTGCGCGTTCGTGTGTGTTGGAGGAGGGGCTCTGTGAGGAAGTGGCAGATTTTTTTCGGCTGTTTATTTTCAAATTCTAGCTCACTCGAGCTGGTTTCTCCAAAATTACCTACCCCACCTTTAAAAGAAGATGTCAGTGGCTTAGATAATACGTGATGAATAATGTTTATTACAATGCATAAACTAATACAACTACAAAATAATTTTAAGAATAAATCTTACTGAATTTGATATCTTAGCTAAACTCTGATTTGAGCTAAATGCTAATGCTTCGAATTAGCATGTAAACATACTTACTTATGGTAATATTGCCAAAAGTTGTGTTAGTGTAGCAAAATGCATGGTTAGTGCAGGAAACTCATTTTGTTGATTACTTGTTGAGTGTTAGATGAGAATATCTGAATTAGGACACGGTTAGCCTAGCTTAGCATAAAGACTGGAAGCAGGGAAGTGGCTCTTCTAGCTCTGGCCACCTGTCCTAAAGTTTATTGGTTAATACATTGTACCTCATTTCTTTAATAGGTACAGAAACAGAGATAAAAATAACGCTTATATTTTCTTTAAACAAAAAGCTTTATGCTACGTGAGCGCTGCATAAACAAAAAACTTAAAACTTATCCAATAGCAGATGAGAAATGTGACGTCACCAAAGCAGTACATCTTTTCTCTGTTGGCACATATTGTGTGGGTCTTATTCAGAAGAACATCCAGTGAAATGGTTTTATAATCACCTCTGTTTTACGTCAACCATCCTCACATAATGTATCTATCTTTGGCAGTGTGATCTGCACACATCGTGTCCATTCATAAATCTGCAGAGCACTTCTTGTGAAAGCTGGGATTAGACACTTACGTTCAGAGTACCTGCCTGATCTCAGGCCCTGCAGGATGTCCGACAGAGACTGGATGTAGCACTGCAGCTCCGTGCACTGTGTGGAACAGAGAAGTCAGTTAGCATTCATGCTATCAGTGCTGCACCACGTAAAGTGCTTTCTAATAGCTAAGCAGCGCACTGCTTATTGCTTTCCTTAAATAAATCATGTGATCCCAAATACCTACATTAATTTATAGAGTAGTGTGTCTGTGTGCTGCATAAGATTCACAGCTTATCTGAATTTTTTCTTCACTTTCTCATTTGGTGAAAAGCTCATTGATTTACGGCTAAGTGGCTGATAACCCATTTACGAACGCTCCAGTTTGATGCCATTACTCCAGTTTTAACACAGAAGGTAAATGTCCACAGGCCTTCAATAAGAGGCTGCCTTTAACAGATGCTAATGGGGAAAGTGATCGCAATCGACAGCTTCACACGTGGCTCGCCAAACTGTGTGTTGCCTTCAGACGGATACAGGACACCCAGCATCACCGGACTACCATGAAAACTGGCACCATCAGATCCTCTTACCCTGTTTGATATCACCAGGCTGGCATTGGATGCCTCGCTGCAGCTACCCTGTCATCTGGAGCTGTAGTTTACTTTTAGGCTGCACAGACTTTGCCATGGCAGCTTCCCAGTGCTTCTTACATTTCTGTTGTTCATTTCTAGGAACACATTTTTGACATACACTAGGCAGACAGCTGCTTGTGGCCTTCAGCAGTAAACTGCAATTGAAGAATCTTTATTTAGCTGCATTGCATCATGGTCTTTCCGCTATTGCGATTTAAGAAACCGTTTTCTGTCTCTGTTCTCTCTTTATGAAACACTATACGGACATATTTATCTGGACACACCTGTTTTATTCTATGCTTATGCTCTTGGGCTGTTTTCAATGGTTTAGCTTACACCCTCACCCCAAAAAATTACATTTGTATGCCACACAATAGAATTTACATTTAAAATTGAACACAAAAACACAAATAGATTGAAGATTTAGGTTAAGAACATATTTAAAAGTGTGACATTTCATATTTCATATCCTTTGTTCTAATCATTGTGCTGAGACTACACATTATAACAACTAACTTGCTCCTCCAGAGAAGTGAATTTGATTACAGCTCATATTCAGGTTTTATAATTGTATACTGTGTTTACGTGCTCTAATGTTAAAAAAGCTCTTTATTTTTCTCATACTGCCTGTGCTGCAGCACCTCTTTTCACCCTCTGTCTGAAACCAGAGCCCAGTCTGCTCTGATTGGTTAGCTGGCCGGCTCTGTTAATCGGTCAATCGCTTGGAGATGTCTCGCCCATTAGCCTATCATATACAATGTGTTGGAGCACTAGCCAATAGAAGCACCTAGTGATGTGACTGTACGGAAAGAAAGAAAAAGGAGTTGAATTAAGGCGTTTAAGGTAGGGGGGAGTGTGTGGGAGAGGAACTCTCTCTGGAGGGAACTTTGAGATTTTAGCCTATACAGACCATTAACATGCACAAAAAGCTATATAACACATTACAGGAAAGGGAAAACCCCTAAAAAGCATAAAACGACCCCTTTAAAGCTCCTTAACCTTTCAATTGTGACTAATTTGATGCAATTTCTATTCAACTTCTAGTGACATCTAAATGAATCTACATGTAAAATAATGCTACATTTGGTAACAGAAAAACCTGAAGCTCCAGAAAGAATGTTTCTCCTGTCTATTGGATAGAATTTAAAATTCTTCTTCTCGCCTACAAAGCCCTTAATGGGCAGGCGCCATCTTACCTTAAAGAACTCATTATACCCTACTGTCCTACTAGGGCAGGGGCAGAGATGGGGTCGTTACTAAAAAAAAGTAATGTATTACATATTACATATTACTTTAAAAAAAAGTAATATATTACACTACTTCGTTGCTCTCTACATAAAGTAACTCGTTACTTTACTCGTTACTTTACTCGCAGGGCCGGCCCGCCCCTCCCTACAGGCAGATCACGCAGACTGCGGTGCACCTACAGTGTGCGCGCCACAGTTTTGCCTCTGCGAGACTCCACTTGCACCCCCAATTACTATTGCATTAAGGAAGACATAACACAAGTCTTTCTTTTTATATGCTCTAAAATAGGCTACCAGCCTACCACAACAAGCTAACAGTCTGTGAAACGTCAAGACACTAATTAATGAAACCAGTTCAAGACGCATTATTCTTATCATTCTTTATGAGCGCATAACGGTAAGGTATCTAATTACGTATGTATTTAGTATTCCATAACTTAGTAACAGAGATGGTCAAACTAAAGTGGTAGAGACAGAATTCCTACAATGAAGCGGGACATTGAACTGTTCACCCGTGAGAGGGCGATCAACAAAAGAGAGCGAGCGGCCCCGTTGAGGGAGTTTACAGATGAAAAGACTCAGCCATGTTTATGCAGCACTGCACGTGGAGATGTGGTCTCGCAAATCACGCAGATTACATAGGCCTACATGTATATAAACCTGCGGCGGAAACCCCTCTAGTCTGTCAGTGAGTGTGATTATTTTATAAAAGTAACGAAGTAACGCGTGTCGGGGCAATGTTAGTAACTGTGGTGTGATTACTAAATTATAAAAGTAACGCGTTACACTACTCTGTTACCGACCAAAGTTATATTATTACAGTAACGCGTTACACCCAACTCTGGGCAGGGGTCGGCAACCCGCGGCCCACGGGCCGCATGCGGCCCTTTAAGCCCTGTGCTCTGGCTCCCTTCAGCTTACACAAAAATAAGAAGGAAATAAAATAAAAGTATTTGTAGGACTATTTATATTTTGTTGCATGGTTGAAAATGTTTCGTATCTTGTATTTTGAGGTGATACTGTGACACATAAATAAAAAATAAAACGGTTTTAATTAGGTCAACTAAAATATGCGTCACATCCTGCTACGGTCCCGCGCGAGCGCCTTTTCTTGGAGGCGAATAACCTGACCCCCGGCTCGATGAGCGAACTATGGATAAATCAAAGAAAAGTACCGGAGGAACACAGGATTTAATTCTGTGTGGACAGAGTTGTATGCTTTCACAGCAAACGATGCTGGTTTACCGGTATGTTTGATATGTAAAGAGAAGTTGTCAACGATGGTGCAGCCTTTACGTATCGAGGAACAACACGGGAGAGGAACAGCTGACGATCTCAGTCATAATTCAATGGGGTATGTAATTTATTTCAGAAAACACTTTTTGTTATATTCCATGGAATGCGCTTAACGTCCTGATAGCAATGAATATATTAAATGCTTTGACAATAAATACATACAAAAATGTATCTGTGGAAGCCGTAGCACGACCAATCATCTGAGCCGGCCCAGCTAAAATAACTGGATGGCCTACCTGCCTGTCAGCCTTCCATCTGTGCACAAACTTATCTCGTGCCCTCATTGGTCATGTGCGCGTTCGTGTGTGTTGGAGGAGGGGCTCTGTAAGGAAGTCTGAAGGAAGAGGCATATTTTTTCCGGTTGTGTATTTTCAAATTCTAGCGCACTCGAGCTGGTTTCTCCATTCTTATCTACCCTACCTTTAACTCTTTTTAGGGTGCAGCTATATGTTTTATTTATTTCAAAGTGGGCCCATTTTAATAATATTTGTTTTCCTTCAAATGTGCAGAGGACTCCCCAAGTGCTGTGTTTAATTTATTTTAAAGTAGGCCTGTGTATTATTTGTAATTCTCCTTATAAGAGTTATTTGTTTCTTATTAGAGGTTAACAGTTTTATATCATGTAATAAATAGCCTAATAAATGCAAAAAAAACTGTAGTTTTTGTCTATGATATAACAATAAAAAACTATGAAATATGTTTTGCGGCTCCAGACAAAACATTTTTTGGGTAAAGAAGCAAAATGGCTCTTTTGGTCAAAAAGGTTGCAGACCCCTGTACTAGGGCATTGCGTTCCAAGAATGCAGGGTTGTTGGTTGTTCCTAGAGTCTCTAAAAGTACAATGGGAGCCAGAGCCTTTTCTTATCAAGCTCCACATTTGTGGAATCAGCTTCCAGTTTGTGTTCGGGCGGCAGACACCCTATCCGTTTTTAAGAGTGCGCTTAAGACCTTCCTTTTTGATAAAGCTTATAGTTAGGGCTGATTAGATTCAGCCCCTAGTTTTGCTGATATAGGCTTAGCTTGTCGGGGGACATCTTACTTCTTCCTTCTCTCTGTCTGTACCTGTGTACTCTCATGTTCCGATTAACTCAGCTTCCCCAAATGTCTTTCTTTTTGGTGTCTATATACGCTGGGATCCGGAGTCGTGGCTGTGCCTGTTGCTGTGGTCCTGAGTCCTGGATCGCGAGCCCTGGATATTGAGTCGTGGCTGTGGTCCTGGATCATAAGTCCTGGATGGATATCCTCGTAGATTCATCTTCCTATTATATACACATGCATTTCCAAACATTTGGACTACCTGTGTTGCAAATGTATTATCTTTTCAATTTACACACGGCATCTATTGCTCGTCTGTCCATCCTGGGAGAGGGATCCCTCCTCTGTTGCTCTCCCTGAGGTTTCTCCCATTTTTCCCTTTAAACTGTGGGTTTTCTCTGGAAGTTTTTCCTTGTACGATGTGAGGGTCTAAGGACAGAGGGTGTCGTATTGTCATACTGATATTCTATACAAACTGTGGAGACCACTGAGACAAATGTAACATTTGTGATATTGGGCTATATAAATAAACATTGATTGATTGATTGATTGATTTAGTGAGGGACCTTGACTGGTCTCACAGAGCTCCGACCTCACCCCCGCCCAGCACCTGTAAGATGACCTGGAGCACCGACTGAGAGCCAGAAGTCACCTGATCTCTAACATGACTGTTTGAATTCACTCCCTCTCATGTCTGGATGGGAGCAAATCCCTGCAGTGGGTTTAAAATCTGGAGGAAAGTAACTAAATAAGAACGATTATTCAAGTACTTTACCAACATCTTGAGTGAGAGTTGTATTTTACCTGAGTGTTTCCTTCTTGTAGTATTAATAATTCCAGTACATTTTAGACAAAATAGCATAATTTCTTTCACCCGGTTTGATTTATTGGATTAAAAAGTCACATACAAAACATTATCATCTGAGTAGCAGTAGTTTAGATCAGCTACATCATATTAATGTAATTATCAGGAATACAATTATTCTAATAATATAATTAGAGTTATTAAATTATAACAATTAAATAGCATTATTGCTTCCTTAGATTAGCAACAATAAACTACTGGTCACAACAGACCATCCTCAGTGTATCTTGAGCGTTGTATTACTCATTAATTAAATATTTTTGTTTGAATAAGTCATATTCCTTTTCTTTAAAGTAGCATTTTCTCACTTTAAGTGAATGATTTGAGTCACTTTTTGTTTTACTCCTGGTAGAAATAATCTGGTTAATCTGAAATTCAAACTGTGAGATTTGATGCATTGTGGACTATATTTTTGTCCATGTAATTAAGATGAACATCGAGGCCAAATGACAGCTTTCATTTGGCTGTCACTTTTTTATCGTGAGACGCCTCAACCAAAAAGACTAAAAAGATACCTTTTCTGGCAGATATCTGAAGTCTAACTGACAAGTTCTCCAAAAGAATACAGTTACACTACAAAGAAAAACCAAAGGAACAACATAAAAAGTCTGTGTGAAGTACATTTGATTCATTATATCTCACCTTCTGAGAGAATTGTTCATTTTCAGTGTCAGTTTGAGTCTTTTCACAGACTCCCTCCACGTGAGCGCTGTGCACTCTCTTCCGGGTGTAATGATGCTTTGACCCCTCTGAAAGCTGCTCACAAACAGAAGTTAATCCCTGAACTGGACTGAGGGTTGGGGTCTGCGATGCGGGTGGAGGCCCAGTGCAGCCGCTCCACCTCCTGCCCTGCGGCACCGCTGCAGAGTGGATGCAGCTTGTAGGAGTAGTGGATGAGGTTGATGATGGCGGTACAGGCGACTCCTCTGCATGCTGAGGACTTAATCTTGTTGGGCTGTCATAGTCGTCCTCATCGCTGGCGAGCCAGTCAATGGAGTAATCCGAGTCTGAGGTCGACATGTTGGAGATAGAGGCTCATCCAGCCGAGAGCGCCACGCACCTGCCGGGTAAACACACCGATTTGTAAACAGCAAGTCAAAAATAAATATCTTAAAGTGTGTCAAGTGCTTCTGTGAAACAGTTTGTTAATGCCTGACATTTTAACCTTCTATTCACGCTGACTTTTGTCGAACCTACATATGGTATTTTAAACTCAAGTTTAGATCCCAAACTTTACAAAGACACTAAATATGTCCGACTGGATGTTGTAGGAAAATGTGTGTAAAATGAGCCACCAGACCTCGAGTATTTGCATTGGTTCAATACAGACCTAGAACAGATAAAATAACTGAATTAAGATGATTTTAATAACACTTAAGCTACCTAGGAAATAAAAGGATAAAGGCTAATGTTAAAGAGGTTTGTCATCAGAAATAGTCCATCAATGCCAACATTGCTATTATTGTTTATTGTGATATAATTTCTTGGAGTATTTTTATATTCTGAAATTCTGTACAACCAAACAGTCAATAAACTGTTATAATAGGGGAAAGTGTTGAAATTGTATTGTGAATATACAAAATAAAGACATAAAACTTAGACATGTAGAAACATGAACAGATCTTTTGTTGAAATTCCATAAGCTGTTTGAAATATGTCTAAAAGCAGCCTCCACTTTTTTCAACTGGTTTAGCACCATATGTTACATAATAACTACATTACGTCATTACGCATTAAATTATGAAGACGTTAACATTTTATTTTCGTCTACAAATATTTTTAAATAATTGGTTATGTTATTTATCAAACGAAATGCCAAATATTCACTTTCAAAAGTCTTGAATTCTCAATTTTTTAAATATCCATTTAAATTAAACTGCTTATTCATTTGGATATTGTTATCGTATAGGATCATTTGGTCTATACAATATAAGAAAGAAAGTGTCAAATAGAGTTTAAAATCCCTAAATATTTCATGTACTCTTCCAAACCATAGACTGTATCCAAACCAGCAAATATTTAACTTGAACAAACTTAAATATGAACAAATCCGTTTTTTAAATGGTTTCAGAATCAGAATACACATTTCAAGAGTCACATGTAATTGAAAAGTTAAATAATAGAAAATGTCACATTTTACATTTTTTACATCGTGTTCTTTCAACACGTTGAAAGAACACGCTGTTGTGTTTGTGGGAGACTGGCCTCCGTATTTTTAAATCCTAGCTACGGCTCTGCTCCAGTAAATTCCCAGTATAGCCCGTACTGTAGGCTACATGAGCCGTAATGTAGACATTACAGCACAGCTCCCTGAGATGACTGAATATGCAGGCCAGGAGATTAAATAACCCTCCTCTGCCTTTTTCAAATTGGCAGGTCGTCCAACATTATGTAAGAAAAACATCCAAACACATGGACCTGTTTCCCCTCGCCTGTCAGTTTACATACTCACACGCTGCTGATACAAGTGACATGGTCCGTGACCGTAGATTCACACCTTTATTTTCTCAACTTCACTTAAAAAAGCAACACATGCGACAGCCATACCCAGAAAAAAACAACAACAACTGTGTACCATCGGAGTACGTATACAACATGCCATAATGAATACAATGTTACACATTAACCTGTCCTGTGTCGTTAGGACGGTGCACAGCTGCGGTTCAACCCGAAAACATCACTTCTAAAATCCGGCTTTTAATGCCAGCACTGCTAATTTTAGTAATTACATAGGCCTAATACATTTAAAATAAATCCAGGTGAGTTCAGAATGAACGCGGTAAGGTGTGTGTGTGTGTGTGTGTGTGTGTGTGGTGTGTGTGTGTGTGTGTGTGTGTGTGTGTGTGTGTGTGTGTGGTGTGTGTGTGTGTGTGTGTGAGAGAGAGAGAGAGAGAGAGAGAGAGAGAAGAGAGAGAGAGAGAGAGAGAGAGATAGAGAGAGAATAGAGAGGAGAGAGAAGATGGAGAGAGAGAGAGAGAGAGAGAGAGAGAGAGAGAGAGAGAGAGAGAGAGAGAGCAGCAGACCGTCACTTACCAGAAGTGAACCGTGTGTTTCCCGTACGGCTCGGTGAGTTGAGGGCATGCGGCAGACAGCGGAGTGAGTGCGGACGCGGACCGAGCCGACTGATGAAGATGGAGTGAAACCATGAAAGCAGGAGTCCCATCCAGCGCGTGCAGCCTCTCCCTGGGCAACGTGTCCGAGAGAGGCGGGGCACAACTCTCTCTCTCTCTCTCTCTCTCTCTCTCTCTCTCTCTCTCTCTCTCTCTCTCTCTCTCTCTCTCTCTCTCTCTCTCTCTCTCTCTCACACGCACCACAGAGAGAGACACACCACACACACACACACACACACACACACACACACACACACACACACACACACACACACACACACACACACAGAGAGAGAGACACGCATACACGCAAAGCAAGCAGGAAATCACTGTGGAAAAATAAATAAAACTGTTGGGAACACACGTGATCATGTCGTGACGAAACAATGTAGCGTCACCGCCGGTGCTCCTTCAATTAAACTCTCCCATTGGATCAGAGTCGCATTGAAGCACGTGAGCGTAGGAGCTAATTAATGCTGCGTTAAAGGGCATCGATCTTGGAAATAAAAAGGAAAAACGAAAGAAGTTTACATTTGATAGCCTACAGTTTATTGCTTATGGAATGCCCATTTCCGCCACTTAAAAAAAAAAATGATGAGATAAAAAGTGTGCATGCATAAGGTAACTATTACAGAACACAGAATGCCCAGGAGAAACAAATTGTGAAGTATGTTAGTGCATATCAGACACCCAGCACCTCTCCCTTTTCCTCAGATTTTGAGGAAAAGTCTTAGATAGCAACGTGTGGGTAATGGATATTGTGACACAAAGATTTCAGCTTACAGCAACTAGACTGCAATCAGAGGTTCACGTTTAGGATTTGTAGGTTTTCCAGATTCTTGTGAAGGAAGTACTACAGCTACACTTGTTTAACACTTGAGTGCCATCGCATCAACATCTTTTCAATATTTCTTTACTGCTTTTAGCCACTTTTGTTGAACAAAAGTAAAGTGAAGTTTAAGAACATGTTTACGTATCAATGCAGAGACCTCAGTTAAGGAAGTAGTTTAAGATTGATGGTTTATATTGCTAGACTTCACTAATAACCTGAGTCTAAATCATTTAATTCAGACAACATACTGTTATGGTTATTACATGGTTTATATGTGGTAATGTCTAGGGTCATTTGGGATATGAAAGACAAATGGAACAACCTGTGTTTCATATGTTATATTTACAACTTGTGTTTATTGAAAATGAAAAGCATTTGATGTTCATCTAACCTCCAGAACACATGCACCAAATAACCAGCCGCACTGTTCTTTCTGAAGAAACACCACTTGACATCAGGTTCACCCGTTACCATGTTGGGAAATAAGTGATTTATTACAAAAACCAGAGATGTCACATAATAGTCCAATGTGTCACAAATGACATATTCCTTTTTTAAGCACTATTCTATTCAGGTGCTGTTATTTACAAAAAGACAGCTTGGCATTCAAACCACTCATAAACGTATCGATGGATTACGATTAAAGGCTGCTGATGCTGTAGCAAGTTAGATTAAAATGCAGTCAAAATGAAATCAGCAATTTTGTATGCTATTTGTTTAAATAATTCAATTAATACATGTGTGTATTTTGCATTTGTATTCCTGTTCTTACACATAGTCAATCTAAGGGCAACACATTACTTTGTTTGTGTATGTACTGAGTATATTTGGTACATCTTTGACGTGTCTCAAACAGCTACAATTATATTTTCATTCATCACAGGTTAAAGTATATTATAATTCTGACAATTGCAATCAGTATATATATTTCAATTTGTCCTGCAATGGAACAGGAAACAAATACACATCTCTGAAATATAAATGGTGACACTGGCCCAGGAAACTTAATGATCCAGTTCATTGTTCATCAGTTGTCTGAGTGCGACAGGTTAACGGTTTCAAACACATCATTTGTTAATTTCAGATCATACTCTGACATTAGATCCACACAGATATGGAACACATCTTCATCATGGTCCTTGAACACATACTCATCAAGGCAGACTTGAACTTTCTCCAGGTCCACGTGGTGCAAGCAATCTCTGCCTCCATATATGAGGGACTGCATGCAATATGGAGGGACGTCCATGGGGTGATCGTGAGTTATGGACTTGACGGACTCTGTGATTGTTCCAAGTCAATACAACCTCATCAAGTTCTTCCTAGGAGGCAAATAATATTCAGTCAAATAGAATGTATAAAAATACTGGGCAGTGGTTATTACGGCCTTAGTCAAGTAGTCCATGGTTTGTTATATTTGTGAATTGTCTTCTAGTTGTACTATGGTAGGTTGGCACAATCATATTCATACCTGTAAAATGTAAAGTGCAGCAGTGCAACTAATGTTATATCTTAACAGCTATAAAAATGTGGTGGATAAACCCGAAAATAAAAAAGGCTTTTAGATTATTTTGTCATGCCATTTATTACATTGGTAATTCTTAAATCCCTACTTATTTGACACAGCTATCTGAATAACCACATGTTTTTGTTAGCCAGAAACCATAAGTTATTATTCATTCGCTCCACGGAAAACAGGCATATTCTATTTAACACATGGTCATCTGTAGCTCTTTAAAAATATTCACCACATTCAACATTTATTTATTTCATAATGTGACAAGTACCTGTATTATTTGTAGAAAGCAGAACTGGATCAAGGACTTGTCCAAGAAGTTGTCTGAGAAGTAGCCGTCTACACTCAGTTTATCAAAAAGGTCCATCCAAAACTGGACACACTCACTTCGCAAGGTCAGCCACCATCGTTCAATACAACACACTCTCACTCCCTAAGCGTCCAATAACGACGTTTGGTCAGTGTCCGTGGCGTCCAGTTGTGACGCTCCTAGGCTCCTTCAGCGTCATAAAGGGACGCAAATAGCGTTCAACTGATTGCAATGTATTCCCATCTGCGGCGGTATTTGACGCTCAGGGAAGCACAGCATTCGTTTGTGTCGGCTGCCCTTAAAGGCAATGTGAGCGTCCATTCCCATTGGATAACGGAGAATTGTACACCCGGAAACAAATATTTTTTCTGAGTAAAGGATGGCAGAAAACACTACACTACCCAGAATCCCCAGCTATCGTTTGGACTACACCATGTGCTCTGTTTGACAAACCCCGTGATAGTCCTCAAGCTCTGTGATTGGTGAGTGTGCTCCGAGGGTTACGCCGATACTCGAACAGCACTTGAAATGGGATGGAAGCACGTCAGACTGTCCAAAATTGGATTTGAACGGGTCCACCGCGTCCCTCCTCCCCCACCCCGTCCCCAGAACTACACATGCTGGCTATTCTGTTTCGCAACATGCTCTCTATCTATGGCACGTCTCTACTGGGAGTTGTAGTTTTAAAAGACGTTTTCGTATTTCCCATAATAATAAGTTGCCAGTATTAAACTGTGTACATCCATGGAGGTTTAGGGGATAGGAAACACTCAAATGTAAAACATATAATTAATAAATGGGTGAAAATTGCTTGTGCCCATAATGGGCAGCATTCATATATATATATATATATATATATATATATATATATATATATATATACACACGTGCCAGCTAAGATCAGAAGAGCTTTATTTAACAGCTGGTCTTATGTTTGTGACCCCTGTTGTTAATTGATAACATTACATTACATTACATTAATTGATAAGCCTGAAACATGCACTTGTCAAGGTTCAGAGGCAAATTTTGCAAATATGGCAGTAGCCATCGATCAGCTTAAGATAAGATATACTTTATTGATCCCAGGTTGGAAACATTTGCGTTACATCAGCATGTGTTACAGTTGTACATTATGCAGTGGTGTTTATTTGTAAATCATTTAGTATAATCACACAAATTCTGTGTTTTATATTTAACAATTCTGTGTTCTTTATGTATTGATTGTTCAATACCTGACAAGGCCGGAGATTAAATATCTACATACATCTTATAAGAGTATAATACATTATGTATAATATCAGTTAAAATAAGTGCTTCAACATAGTTAAAATTGCTGGAGGTATGCACAAATATTGATAGATGTCTTGTAATGCGCTATTGAGGAACCTGCGACCCAAGTTTTTCATTCAATGCAGAACTACACCATAGTTGTGTAGGCCTATATGATATGTCAATAAACCTTAGAAAATCTTGAAATCTTGAAAGGGATGTGCAAAATAGTCATTATATACAGTCTTTAGTGAACTATTAGTAGAGAATAACGAGTAATGAATATACTTTATAGGGATCCTATTAATATCTAATAATAAAAATAATGAAATTCAATAACATGCTTTTAAGGTGTCCCTTTATATCAGCTGTGCACCTTTATGGTGTAAATACAGCCTATCTACCAATTGGATCAAATATAAAAGTCAGCCGAATTAGTGTTGATACTGCAAGGAGACGTATTGTGTGAAAAGAAATGTAAGATGTTGTTTAATTGCTGATATATTTATGACCAACGTCACGTTTTCAGTTCCTCATGTTTGTCTAGAAGTCTTCTCATCAGGGCTCTATAAATAGAGAACTACGGCAGATATGTAATATTGAATGCAGCCGAACCGTGTATTATAATGCCGTTATGTGATGACTTTCAAAGAGAAAATCAAGCACACTCGGAATAAAGTATTATTATTATTTTTTTTAATGTTTTCGGTCTGTTTCCGGTATTTGTTAATGACGATGTGCTGTGAGATGTGAGACTGGAATTGCACAGGGGAAAATAACGTAGGCTATCTTTAGATGCGGATTTTGTTAAACTAATATGTTTGCGCTGTGGATCAACACTATACATTGACGGGGAAGGGGGTAGCAATAAAGATAACACCATTAAACAGTTACACAACATAACAGAAATAATATCGATAGCAGCGTCCCTAGCAACCACCTTGGTAACAATGAAAACGTCGCGATTTCCTGAAGTAATCTTCGTAATAATTAGCAAACTAAAGATCATGTACATCCACTGCACACATAATCTGAAATAACAACTCATATTTCTCGCATCAAATGACATCAAAACGCATTTTAATGGCCAAACTAACTTTAAAATAGGCATTTTACACCGAGAATAAAACGAAGTTCGGCCATGTTTTATTTTTCTGCAGGGAGAAATTTGAAGATCACGTGACATAGACGCCAGCCATT